TTATAACCAAGCAGATGATCTGTGCCGGCTACAGAGAAGGAGGGATAGATGCTTGTAAGGTAATGTATTAGACTGTGAACAAACTCATCATAGTTCACTGGAGACAGTTCATTCAAAGGCAACTTTCCAACCCTACATTTTGCTAGGTTTTGTTTTGAAATTCAGAGTTAAATGATCCGAAGACTTTATCTTTATAAATAACCTTTGACAAATTAAACATAATAATGCATATCATTACATTACTCCATACATGATATTATTTATAGTAGGTATATCAGTATATGTATTGACTATGACTGGCATGTCACCATCAGTACAGCTACATGCCTTATTTAAGGGCATTTTTACAAGTCATGGTTAGGTTAAAATACAAGAATAATAGATGTATTTGAACTTTGGGTAAAAATGCTAAAATTGTCGGGTTTATCTGAGAGAGGGGGAGGGAACAAGGTGGCCTTGTAACTGGACACTTACTTTGTTCATGGCTGATGGGGTACAAGGAATTTGAGGAGCTACGTGTGTGTTGTGCAAAGTGTGACTGAAAAAGGTTAAAAGACACTTGTCTTTGAATAAGGAGCTCTTTATTTGAATCACTGTTATAACTCCCTACCACTGTGTTTTTCTATCCACTGTGACCCAGGGAGATTCTGGTGGCCCCTTAGTTTGTAAACACAATGGAATATGGCAGTTGGTGGGCATCACCAGTTGGGGTGAAGGCTGTGCCCGCAAGGAGCAGCCAGGAGTCTACACCAAAGTTGCCGAGTATCTGGACTGGATATTGGAGAAGACACAGAGCCGTGGTGCAAGCACTCTGGAGATGTCTCCAGCGTGAGGAGTCTGGGTATTAAGGAAGAGCCCAACTGGGACCAGCTTTACCACCTGCTCTCAAGTCAACACAGAGCCCCAGAATTCTCACATCCTTGTCCTAGGACTAAAAGCACCATGTTGATACAGTTGCTGAAGACAACATCTTGTCAAAACGTGTTTCCTGCCTTGAGTCATAGGATCCCCAAATGGAAACTATCCAAAGAGCATCATGCTTGTTTGGTTAAAATGGTCAAAGAGTTTTACTAGGTAGTGAAATGGGTGATCTGAAGCAGTTGAAAATAAGACTCCAGATTCTAGCACCAGTGCCTGGGACTGTTCTCATCTGACTTCTGCCTCTGGACCTCAGCAGATTTCAGAGTTACCTTCTGTCCACCTCACTCATTGGTTCCTTAGACGCCGCGCCCCGCGCCCCCATGCTGTTGTTGCATCTGGCTCAAAGAACTGAGAAACCTGGTTCTGTCTGGTGGAAGGAGGAGACCTTTGTAACATTTTCTTTACAATAAAAGGATGGCCCACTTGAACGTGAGGAGCCAGAGCACCTTTCCATCTAAACCACCTTCCTGGCCATTGTAGCATGGTCTTGGCTACATATATGTGTAAGACCTGTAAGGCTGTGTTTTTCTTCTTGTGTGCGGCTCTTGCAGTAGGCTGATCCCACAGTACTCACACAAGGCAGGGAATTTGATGGGAATCTCCCAGGGAATCCTGGGAGTTCAATTGATGATGCATTCTGCAATGGTAATTCATGAAGTGTCCTTGGATATAAAGTGTTATATAAAATCCAAGATTGTGACTGAGTTGAAAAATACTAAGTGGCCTGTGGAGTGGATGACATTAATCCTCATATAACACAAATTTCCAGCTTGCCAGTGATTCCCAGAGTGGGCTGTACGTGCTTAACTCCATTTAGGTAAGCTGATTAATATTTACACAGAATTGACCATTTACAAACTATTGGGCAAGTTAAACAGACAAATAGAAAAATGAAATTTTCTATAGAAGATTCAGCTTTTCCTTGTATGTTCAGAGGCTTGTTGAGTAATTCAGAGGATTAAGTGTGGAGGAGGTAACGGGCGAGCCACAGAATTTGAGATGGGAAGTGCAGAGGTAGGAATTACCCCACTAGCAACTGGCTTTTGTAAAATCTGGCTTGATTCCCGTGAAATAATTTCCTTTTAAATCGCATGGTTTCAGCTTTTACTTTTGTATACAATAAACAGTTTTGTCTTATTCTGTGTGGAAGTTGTTTTGTATTTAAAAGGAAAGAAGTGGTTCACAATGAAAATCTTGTATCTTGGGTTTGAGTGTTGATAACTTTAATGAGTGCTTGGGCAGGGCTCTGGAGTTCTTACTGGGTAAGCCCATGGCCTTTGTTCTCTCAAGGAATGGCCTCATCTGGGCAAAGCAGAGTTTTGAAATGTGGAGTTTTCCCGTGGCATAAAGTATCATGATAAAGTTGCCAGGTGGAGTCTAGCTGGACTGAAATGTTCTGTTTATTTTTCATCATGTGTTTGTGCACAAAGTAAACAATGGAATCCATCTTCCACTCAGAGCCTCATGGGGCGAACATGTGCTTAAGAGGCTAAGAAAATGAAGGGTTGAATCAGGTCACTTTCAGAGGGCAGAGTGAGGGCACTAGACCCTAGACCTTCGGCAGATCCACCCAAGAAGGGGCATGTCAGCTCTGGGACAGAACCTTCCTCTTCCTATGTCATATGGAGGGGGGTGGGGGACACATAGCGCAATACTCACTGTCTTCTAGAGCTCAGTCCAAACTCCGAGGGCTGTCTCTAATCTCTGTCTTTTTTTTTTTTTCATGTAATTCTTGTTGATGCCGCTCTGCCCTACTAAGCTATTGGAAACTGAAGGAGGCTCTCTCTGTGTCTCTGTCTCTCTCTTTCATCAATACTGCCTATGGGTAGGAATGTAGCAAATATCTCCTTTTAGATTTACTTTTATTATTTTTGTTGATGTGTATGTGTGATTGTGTGCTGTGTGGGCACTGGTGCCTAGCTACAACAGATCAAAACATAGTATCTGAGTAACTGCGGCCGCCTTCTAACAAAGCAAAACAGGTGGAGTGGTACTTTGTGTCATGGAGAGGAAACAGGAGGAACAAGATGGAAGAGAGGTAACACCACGTGATAGAATGTAGATTAATATAAATGGGTTGATTTAAGTTATAAGAGGTAGTTAAGGACAAGCCTAAGCTAAGGCTGAGATTTCATAATAAGTCTCTGTCATTATTTGGGAGCTGGCTGGTGGGACAAAAGAAGACTTGTTACAATTTTATGTATGTGAGTACTGTATTGAATTTATGCCAGGAGAGGGCATCAGATCTCACTATAGATGGTTGTGAGCCACTGTGTGGTTGCTGGGAATTGAACTCAGGACCTCTGGAAGAGCAGCCAGAGCCCCCTCTCCAGCCCTTGCAGGAGTGTTTTAAAGGGCTGCCTAGTATTTCTCATCCTGGTTCATCTCTCCACAAGGGCATCTGACAGGTTCAAAGCCAGTTCAGAAAGCCCCTAGCAGCATGACTATGATACACAGAGAATGGGACTATGTCCCTGTGTCCCCAAATATTGAAATTCTGAAAGTCAGCTGTCTCAGAAGCTAATGTTGGCACTCTGTCCCTGAACTAAGTGCATGTTTCCTTTGGTACACATGGCTTCAGCACATTCCATTTCTGTTCTGGTCTTCGGAATGTTTTTTTTTTTTTAAATTATAGTTGCACTTGTAAATATGAGCTTGTATTTAGCTTTTCTATAGAAAACTGGGAGCCTTTCCAGAACCTTCAATTATCTCTCTCTGGAAGTTACTTAAATTAGACTAAAAAAATACAAATGAATATGGATTTATTTATGATTATCTGTCATAACGCACTCTCAGAACTCAGAGGACAATCTGCAGGAGTCAGTTCTCGCCTTCCGCCATGGAGATCCCTGGGATCAAGCCCAGGATGTTAGTCTTGGCAGGCACCTTTACTGCTAGGCCATCTTATCAGTCCTAAATTAATCAGTTTATTTTTACTTTGTGTGTGTGTGTGTGTGTGTGAATGTGTTGATGAGGTATCAAGATACCATGAAGCAATCTTTAAAGCTAGTTCTTGGTTTTGTTCTGTTTTGTTTTGGGAACAGGGTCTCTCTATCTATGTAGTCCAGGCTGTTCCGGAACTCACTCTGTAGAGCAGGCTGGCCTTGAACTCACAGTGATCCATGTGCCTCTGCCTCCTGAGTGCTGGGATTAACAGACCTGTATGTACCACCACACCTGGCCAGTTAGTGTCTAATATTAAAAATGAGAGACATGGAGGAAAGTGAAACAAACAAATGGCCAAATATCCATCGGCCACTGCTTTAGATTACAGCTCTACTAACTTATTTTTCTCCAGTGACTTGACCTGTAACGGAATAAGTCTGGTAACAGAGAACACGAAGTGTCATGTTTTCCAAAGAACACTCGATCCTTCTTCAAGCTCAAGGGGATACCTTAATAGAAACATAGCTGTGTAGAAGTGGCTTTCCTCTATATAAATTGCAACGAGCCCTACCCTTGGGAGGTTCCTGTGTGTACAAGGCCCCTCATCCTTCAGGGAACCTCTCTGCTCTATTATTGGTGGTGGCGTAGCACTTTGGAGCCCGGCATTTGAGTCTCAGCGAGCCCTCAAAGAGACCCTGTGAGAACTGTCTATTCCTATAGATTTCTTTTCCATGGTCAGTATTCACAATAGGTACTATATGCACTTTGGCCCTCAGAGCCAGTCATATCTCCGTAGACGTCTGAAAAGTTGACATTATGAAACAGAAACTGGGAGTGCAAGAACAGGACTCTCACTCGCGATCCGTGCGCTCAGTCTCTGGCCCCGAGCCTCCTCCAGTCCCGGGCCTCCAGCTTCCAGGCCCCAGTATCCAGCCTCTAGCTCCCAAGATCACCTCCCTCCACTCTACTGCAAATCACCAAGTCCCTCCGATTTCTTCGTTTTCTTTGTCTGCTCAGAATACAGTAGTTGAGCTAGAATCAATGGTGCACGGCTGGTCTTGGAAAGCTCGAGTATGTATACCTGGGGCAGCCAGGCAGGCAACACTCATCTATGTTTGCCCAACTGCCCAGGCAAGTTCAGATTCTCTGGCCATCTCGGCGTGTGCTGCTTCTTTGAAAACACGGTAGAAAGAGAGCAGGCAAATTTGGTGGTGTGTCGAAAGAGCTCGAAACTCTCCGGAGGGACTGAAAGGACATTCTCGGACGCCAGACACGCTGAGCGTGGTGTGCACAGGATGTCACATGACACAGGAAACCAGCACAAGTCACCATTCAGGGAACAGTGTCCTACGCAAGCTCATTTAGAGAGGAACAAGCCTCTGTCGAAGAAAGAAAACACCCCAACGGAGGACGGCAGCAAAGAGAGAGGCAGTATCTGCAGGTATGGCTTCAAAAGTGGACGTTTCTCTCAACCACGTATGCCTTACGGCGTGTCCCCACTGCTGTGACGAGGGCTTAATTTTCTTCAGTACAGAAAGGCAGATTTTTTTTAACATGCATCTGATTTCACATTGTAGATATACTCAGTCACCCTTCACAGTCGATTGGAGGGCGGAGGCAGTGGAAGACTAGGAGTGTAGCCAGTGAGAAGTGTTTTTCAAGAGAAAAGATTATGGAGCAAAACAGGAACTGGACCTGAGGGTGTGTGTGTGTGTGTGTGTGTGTGTGTGTGTGTGTGTGTGTGTGTGTGTGTGAGAGAGAGAGAGAGAGAGAGAGAGAGAGAGAGAGAGAGAGAGACAGCCTTTTCAGTATTTAGTAGGGCACATACATTTACAAGTGACCAAGACAATATATTAATGAATTTGAAGTAAGTTTTTTTAGAAATAGAAATTATAAGGAGGATAATCATTCATATATATATATATATATTACTATATATATATATATATATATGTGTGTGTGTGTGTGTACATATATATATACCCATTCACATATATAGTCATTCATATATAGTAATAATAAAATATAATAATTCATATATATATATATATAGAGAGAGAGCTTAAAACTGAAAAAAAGGATAATAAAGATGGGAAGTTGGAGTAGGGAGGGGGTCAGATGCTAGTGACTGGAGGATTTCTTAGGTGGGTGAGGTGGAGATTGAGAGAGGGCAGGGAGGATGAATGGTCAGTGTAGCTTCTGCAGAACTCTGACAGGACGGAACAGTACGCACCCTGCTCAAGGCTCTCCTAACATTACCGAGGCATCATCCTCTCATTCTGTGTAAATTCTGGTGTCAGTAAACTAGTTACAGTTTACAATTTATGTTCTAAAAACAGTGACATTCTTCTCTTTGTAGGATGGTCTCATTACATCAGGTGGTATGTTTTATCTTCTTTGCCTCAGTTTCTAGTGGTAAGTGTTGCTTTCTTTATTTTTTCCCCAACATAAATTTTTTATTAATTATTTGGGAATTTCATGCAATGCACCTAGATCACACTTACTTCCCCTTCCTGACAGATCCACCCTCCCAACCTTGCATCCCCCCCCCAAAAAAAAAAACACCCCACCAAGTCCAATTTGTATTGCCAATACACTCACTGGAACATGGTCAAACTCCTAATGGCCAGCCCCTTAAAGAACACTGAGTCCTTCCTCACATGTCCACCCCCCTGCCAGAAACCATCAGCTGTGAAGAGCTACATTCCAGCATCTTTATTACAGTTTTTAAGGACTCTCCTCACTATTTAAATATGAGGTTAATTTCCTGACCTGTAGAATAGAAAACAGTGTGATCCCATGAATTACTGTGGAATAATTCCATGTTGCTAACTCCAGGGGAGGAAGAAAAATCATTTATTTTCCAATCAAGGCTCCCACTTAAGGAGTTCAAAGAAATAAAGAGATTTAAATACAGGATTACAAAGAGACTATGCCTATATCATCTGTGTTATAGTTATGTCTGTCTATAGACCTGTATCTATATCTAACTATATAATACATTGTAGTGGTACCTAAGAGCAATATTAGAAAGCCAAAGACTTGAGTCACATCACTGATTAATTTTCCATAAGGCATTCAATCCAGTAAAACACACACACACACACACACACACACTAATTCTGGGCTGAAAATGTTATCAGAATATTAATGTACAGCTTACACATTTGGTTAGTTTAACTACCAAATTTGTTTATTGATTACTTAATATTTAGTAGAAATAATTAATACAACTGTAAGTTACCCAATTAATATTGATCATAACAACTTAGCATAAGTATTTTTCACCCCATGTTTATTCTTTATTTAAAATGAAAATTTAAAAACTCTCTTTTAAAATAATTTATTTATGTTACATTGAATCTCTGAGACTGTCACTGGCCTTTAACCATAGTAAATTCTTTTTGATGTTGCACATGTAAAAGGTGGCAAATATAGGTATAGATTCAAAATAAAATAAATACTATGTAACATATTAAACTATACAGTTTATAATTTCATTTTGATTTGTGATAAGATTGCTTTCCAGGTTATTCTTTCATTGTCATCGTTTGAAATTCCGTTGTTAGTTCCTTGGTAAATTGTCAGTACTATTTTGATATATTTGTTTCTTTGTTTGTTTTGTATGTTGAGACAGGGTTTTTCTGTATAGCCCTGGTTGTCCCGGAACTCACCAGTCTGTAGACCAGACTGGCCTTGAATTCAGAGATCTGCCTGCCTCTGCCTCCCAAGTGCTGGGATTAAAGACGTGCACCATCACCCAGCCTGTTTTGACATCTTAAACACTAAATTAAACAAGTGTGTTGATATAGACATGTTATTTATGTACATAAAAACACTAATAAATACTGATCGCTCTGAACATGTCATTGCCTGGTCCTGTGTGGCTTGGTCCTGACTAGAGTGACTAGGGAATGAAGAAAGGACAGACACACAACAAAGCTGGGATCGGGTGGGCTGTGTTCACTCTGATGGAGCAGTACCCACTACAATATAGCCACCTGAAACCTCAACACCTTTATTACGTACAGTACAATGGATGTGTTAGCTAGTCTCAGTAGGAGGTCATCAAGAAGTCTCAGATTGCAGTCACCATGAGCTAGGGTTATTAGTGTTTGCAATACCACCAACACTGGCACTCACACCAGAAGAAGATTCTGTCATCCACCTGAGCCTCACCTCAGGGGAAGGCTTTGCCACTATCATGGGTCTGAGGCATTGGGGTCCTTGACATGACCATGCCCACGTCAAACAATACACATTCACTAAGGATTTCACCTGCCCTTTACACATTCATTCAAGGATTTTTCTGCTCTCTATAAGTCTCCATAAAATTTAAAGGTAAAAATTATGTAGATCTTGTTATTTAGTTATAAAAGTACTGTGCTAAAAAATAGCAAAATGATAACTGAAAAATCCCAAATGTTGGGTTAAGTAGGTATACTCTGAAATTTGATTCAAAGAAGAGATTACAATAAAAATTTCATTTAATATAATTAATATACAGCACATGAAACCTTGGGATGTAATCAAATTGGGACTGAGATGACCTGTAAAAATGTATGCACATACATACATTAGAATAGAGAAAGGGTAAAAAATCAATGACAATACATCCCAAGAAGGTAGAAGAAAACAATTCAAAGGAACTAGAAGACAGGGGAAAAAACTAGCAGAAAAGAATTAAACAGAATGTAAACATAGATTAGAGAAAGTGCATACATGCTCTGCACCCCATTTCAAAGTCTCAGCGACACCAAGTTCACAGGGACACTCTGAGAATTATAAGACTTTTTGTCTATGGATATATATGCAAATATAACCGACAAAATACTCTCCAATGTAGTGTATCACACTTGAAAGCCCAGGACTGAGAAAGTGAGGGCTCTGAGTCCCCCGGGTGGGGCTATGTAGCAAGACTCTGTCCGAAAAATCGTTTCAAAATCGGCTATACCCATTCAGTTCATAGCACCCTTGGTAGGTGGCTCCCAGCCTCCTGTGACTCTGGTTTCCAGAAATCTAACACCCTCTCCTGGCTTTTGTGGGTACCCATACACACATGTGGCACAATACATACACAATGAAAAAGTTTTCAAAAAATGTTTTAAAAGAAAGAAAATTAAGAGACATTACATTGGCTTAATGTGGCAAAGTTTGGTTAATTCAAAGAATGAGAAGTTACTTTAATTTAAAAAAAAAAGCAACAGATGTAGTCTACTTTTGTGGATGTAGATTCAAAAGAAAACCCCAACAGAGGTTTTTTGTTTTTTTTCTGTGTTTATAACACTGTTGTGCAAAGTAGCTGCAAGGTAGAAACACGTGGGCATTTGAAGCACACTCATCCATACCACAGTACAACCTGAGTATTCATCAATGAACCAATGGTTAAACAAAATATAATATTACAGTGTGCACATGCCATGGAATATTATTCAGCATTAAAGGAAGGAAATTCTAATACATACTACATGGCTGAACCTTCATGGCATTATACTAAATGAAATAAGTCATTGACAAATGAACATATGAACGATATGAATATGAATGACCTACTTATATAAGGTCCCCAGAGAAACAGGAGACAAAAGAGAAGTGACCAGGGGTTAATGCTAATGGTCATTTAATGAGTACAGACTTTCAGTTGGAAAAGCTGAAGGACTTCTAGAATGGTGGTGGTAATTGTGCATAATGGAAATATCCTTAATTCCACAGCATCACATTCTTGAAAAAAGCTAAAGTGGCAAATTTATGTCATATGTATTTTACCATAGAAAGACAAAACTAAAATCCTTTAGGACATTAATGCACGCAGCAAAATTTTATTTAATAAAAATTGATTTATTTAATATTTAGTATTTTTATTTTTTATTAAACTTTACTCATAACAAAAGATGTTTATCAAACTCAGAAGAGAACTCTTCCAATGACCAAATGGTATCTTAAAACAAACAAACAAACAAACGAAAACTACAAAAGAAAAATTCAAACCAAATGTTTTTGGGAAATCTCATGCATAATGGTGAACTGAACTATTAAGCGCTTCCCTAAGGGATGGAGGGAAAGGCACAATATCCACAACTACAACTTGGCTATTGTGGACAGCAAACAATGAAGAGAGGTGTGCAAGCATCTTTGGTATGTTGACTTAGAGTCCTTCATGCATATTCTCAGGAGTGGTACACTTCTACTTTTAACTTTCTGTGAAATCTCATTATAGATTTCTATTTTTCCCACAGCCTCACCATCAAGGGAATTATTCACAACAAACACGTTAGGGAGTATTCTTAGGTGTCCATCCATAGATGAATGTATAAGGAAAATAGTGGACATATGAACACTAGGAAGGGGACATGGTGTTTATTTAGTTTTATTAATTCTTTGAGAATTTCATACATTGTATTTTGCTCATATTCACCCCCACCTCCCCAAACTCTTCCCATATCCATGCTCCATTCCATACCCACCCAACTTTGTGTCCCCATTTTTTTTTTAAAAAAGATTGATTTATTTATTATGTACACAGAGGAGGGCACCAGATCTCATTACAGATAGCTGTGAGCCACCATGTGGGTGCTGGGAATTGAACTCAGGACCTCTGGAAGAGCAGTCAGTGCTCTTAACCTCTGAGCCATCTCTCCAGCCCCCATGTGTCCCCATTTTTTCTTTGGCCTCAATGAAGAATGAAATCATGCCATTTGTAGGACCGTAGATGCAACTGGAGAGCAGCGTGTTAAGTAAAATAAGTCAGACTGAGAAAGATGTATGTCAGGTTTTTCTCAAATTTGTGGATTCTAGACTTTATGTAGAAACATAAAATTATGTCTATATGTCATGAAGGTTGAAGTGAGACTCTCTGAGCCCTGGAGTCTAGGGGAGTAAAGGAGAATAGAAGGAAGGAGAGAAGCAGGAGTGTATGGAGAATAATATAGTCAAAATACACGATAAACCTCTATGCAAATGACCTTGTGAAGTCCACCACGAAGTGCAATGAATTTATGACAATAAGTATTTTGAAAGAATATCTACTGTCACCTCTCTTAAACATTATATGAGAGATCCCACTCACCACCATAGGGAAGGGAAAAGTAACTAAACGTCAAGGGAAAGATGGAGATGAATGGATTGTTCCCATAAAATATGACTATGTACATAGAAAATTCAAAGTAGTGAACACATCGATTATTTTAGGCAGATCATCAAGGAGTCTAAGTGTAAATTCAATGTACCTTCAGAAGTGGTGGCACGTGCTTGTAATCTCAGGACTTGGGAGGTACGGGGTGCATTTGAGATGCTATACCACCCTCTTCCATTCAAACTCGTTCAATATACAAACAGTGGCCAACATTCACCAGTACTAGAAACTATACTGAGATTATGGAAATCAATATTATAAATTAAATGATTCAAATAGTGGCTATGTCCTAAGTAAAACTGCACACTTATTAATTCTTTAAAAATCAATCCAACATACCCAAACTTGCAGTTCTGCGTGATAATAACATTTTAAGGTATCACGGTGGCTTTGTACAAAGACAGTGAGTTTCTAGAGTTAACCTAGAGTTAGCAGACATAGTGTGAGGTGGGAATAGGTCACTGGTTGGCTGGAAGCTGCCACAACATGCTTTGGTGGGAGACAACACAGAACTTAGAAAAAGTCAAATCCAGCTAGCTCCTGAGATACTTGTCAATAATGGAGAAAGTCATGCTCCCTGCCAAACCTCTTTTGAATTTTAGAGGCAGATCTGTGGTGGAGATGTTCTTCCCATCATGGGTTCCTTCAGCAGCTACATGAATGCTATGGAGTCTAGTCTTGGAATGATGTTCCTAAATGCACGGACTAAAAATACATAGGATGACTGAGGAGATTAATTATATTGAAGTATGATCAGTTGAAATGGAAAATATTCAATAAAGAATTATGTGTGAGCAGGGTGGTCATGGCACATGCCTTTAATCCCAGCAGATTAGGTGGGAGGAAGAGCCAGGTGGATCTCTGTGTGTTTGAGCCTAGTCTACAGAGCTTCTAGGATAGGCTCCAAAGCGACACAGAGATACCCTGTCTCAGGGGAAAAAATTAGAATTAGGTGTGGTTCTGAGTCACACGTTATATGAAAAGATTTAGTGGTGAACTAAACAGAAGTGGCCAACAAATTGGTGAGGAGTCATAACAATATTAGGAGTCATAATGATATTTGCTGTCATCGTGATAGATACATCACACTACAAATAGCAATCTAGTTAAGTGCTTACATTAATGTATGTAAAATATTTACCGCATTTCCTTAGGGGTCAGTGAAAAATCAGGGGAGATCTTGTGAGTTTGTTGACTACCTAAGTCCCATGAACCTCATGTGACAGTTTTGTCTGCTCTGCAACTATGGTCCTCTCAAGACATTTACTGACGGTTGTTACAACAGTACATATTTGAGTTAGGTTTTATTCTTCCTGAAATATTTTCACAAGAGTTTGATATTTATTTCCAATGTTATAAAGAAAAAAAAATGGATTAGAAGTATCTCTCCATGACTTCATGAAGAACTCTAACCTGTTATTCAGTCACTAGGGAACAGTCCCAAAGGTCACATACCATACGGATTATTATGTATCTCTTTATAGCAACAGAGGACTTTTAAATTTTTATGCAGTTTGGCTTTTTGTAAGTAAAACTTACCTGAGTTTTTAACTAAATACGACTCAATGGTTTTTCCTGGACTCTATACTTCTTGTTGGTAAAGGAGTCCATTTTTAATGTTAACATGACATCATGTAAGAGGCCATCAGTCTTGGCTTTTAGTATGTTGCAGTGTTAAAACTATGAATGAAGGAAAACATGGCAAACCTTTGCTGACCTGAAGGGGTTTCCTGAGGATCATGTTTTGTCGACCAACAGCTGAGAAATCATTGAATTGCTCCCGCAGCCCTCCCAAGACAACCACTCACAAACGTGATTCACTGAGGCCAATGTGTTGTTCGTGGTTTTATTTCCATCTGGGGCCATTCACTAAAGAAGCTAACCCAAGAGGATTAGTTGCTCTGATGTCAGAGTTCAGGCTTATTTTCTGGGAAGTAGGCACGCTGCCATTGACATTATGAGATTATCTAACGAGGTAAGTGCCTACCCAAACCCACACTAATGTGTGCCCACATGTTTCATCACAGAATGTGTCACTAAGCTCTTCAAAGACACCTGCTTTCAAGGAGGTGACATAAGTACTGTCTTCACACCGAGTGCCAGGTACTGCCAACTGGTCTGCACCCACCACCCACAGTGTTTGCTCTTCACATTCATGGCTGAGTCAGCTTCGGATGATCCTACCAAATGGTAACTGTTCATGTTTCTCTGAAGAGGAATTCATTCCAGAGGCCAGTCACTTCCCACTACTGATTACCTCCTTATACATTCCCTTCTGCCATTTTATGAATTGTGATGTTACCAGCTGGAAACTGAGTTTTCCTTCCATTAAAATATTAAATATTACAGAAAGAATGGTGTCTAGGTACATTTGTGAGAAACTGTAATGCCTCTTGAGATCTCAATATTAAGGTCATATTTTCTCTCCCACGTTTTTTGTCTTATATTTGTTCTTTTTGTCACTGTTAGTTAATGATAGTGGCTATTATCTAGAACTTTCTTCTAATCGTTCAATTAGGAAAAATAGTTTATAAAAAATACTGTGAAAATTGCAACTATAATCTCATGCTCCCTCTAAAATCCTGCCAGGTTTGCTTTGCCAACCTGTACATATTCACAGCTAAACACTGAAAATGAATTTAAAATATCATAGCCTTGCACCTCTCAATACTCCAACATGTATTTCACCACAAAGAAAGTGTAAGAAATTTAACAAAATTACCCCCACACCATTACATCCTTCAAGTGTTATCTATAGCAGCTAATTAAATTCTCATCAAACTTCACCGGTTTCCTATGGCTGTTTTGTCTCTCTACTCATTTTTTTTTTAAATCTTAGACATGCCATCCTTTCTGTCTTTATGCTAAACTTGAAATTTAATATATAACCTTTTGTGCAAAAGCTAAGTTGCTATTATCTTTGTTTGGTTTTCTGGATTCACAGATATTTACATAATTCCATAAACTTAATTATTTTTCTGAAATCTAGAACAGAGATTGGCAAGCTTACTATTATGTTCAAGGCCAGGAATAAAACTTCAGGTTTTGTTGGACCAGATGCAAACAGAACATTCTGTATTACAACTGGAAAATGTAGTCGTGTAGGGGCTAGAAGGATAGCTAAGTGGTTAAGATCACTGGCTGCTCTTTAGAGGACCCAAGGTCTGTGCCCAGCACCCACTTCTAGAAGTTTGCAGTCATTTGTAACTCCAGCTCCAGGTGATCTACTGCCCTCTTCTGGCTTCCTCATGCACGGCACACACACACACACACACACACACACACACACACACACACACACAGAGAGAGAGAGAGAGAGAGA